AGACTTACTATGGAGCGAGTGCAACTGCCAACATCCTTCCACAACATCATTGTCAACCTTTATAGGATACCTAAAGACACACCGGCGGTCCCCCTCAACACCCTTTACACCAAACGTCAAAACACACACAGATGTGCGATCTGGCTTTTCTTCGGAATACAGACGGAAGTTCATTATTTCCTTCGCCCTCGTGTTCATGGAGGGAAGTATGAAACTCACAGAGGCTGTGTCTCGTGTCTGTGACCAGAGGTGTGACTGCCCCTCACGCCCACCATTACGTGTCAAATTATGGTACATCATCTCATCTTCTTCCGCCTCTTCATCACGCCTAACATCTTCTCGGGTGTTTTGTTGTGAATGCGGTCCCATCACCGACGCAGTATTCGTGGTGGTTGTAGCGGCAGCGGCAGTGTTTTTGTTTATCGTCGCATCAATTCCCTCCTTGAATGGAGAGGTCGTCGCTATTGGAGGTGTATTCTCCATGTGGACACCATTGGGGCCAACTGTGACGCGTGACGGGTACCTTAGCCGCGTAATACGCGGCTCGTTGCCTGGTGCCTCATCACTCCCGTCGGATTCATCGCTGTCACAAAATTTTTCCCATTTCGAGTAGTCAATACCCGACATCATATCACTCCGCTGTTTTGTCTGTCGTAGAGTCATAAATCAAAGGCAACAGCAACAAGAAAAAAAGGGAGAAAAAGAAAAACCGATGAGATAGAAAAGCTCGAGACACATCTATACATATATGTATACGTACAGAAATGGCAAACGCGGTAGCAGTAAGCGGTGCATTTGTGTCCACTGCTGTAGAGATACGAGCAAATCACAAAAAAAAAAAGAAAAAAAACCTTCAACGGCAATAACTAAAAAAAAAAAAAAAAGTCATTTTGTAAGTGCCGCCTATTGTAAATTCTATTGGTGTCGCAATAGAAACGGTGCAGTCGGCCAAACAGAGGGGCAGCACGGTTTGCCCCGTTGGGGATGATTAATAATCCACCTTCACATAGACGGAACGGCAAAGCGGGCAACAAGGGATAAGTACGGCGTCACCTTTCTCTACCGCCCTCATCTCCGTATAGTGCTCAAATGAAGAAAGACATGCATCATGGAAGCAGTGCCCACAACTCAACAAAAGGCCGTACCGCGGTTCTCCCGGTGTCTTCCCAGTCGTCTTCATGCAACCCGCACGACTGTTGCTATTTTTGCTTGATGGGTTCAGCGGTTTAGATAGACGTGCCGCAGACGTGCTTGGCCGGTATTCAGTCAACTTTGACTGCTCCTTTGTATTGACGCAATTACTACGCCTGCATGCCACCTTTGAAAGTCGCTCCCCCCTTATTTCCGTGGTACGCCTTTGGGCCATGCGGGCATCGTATTCTCTTCGAAAAGCCGCAACGACATCTTCTCCGGTAACGCCCTTCTGAACATCGTCAGCATGCGGGTTCCGCTGAATAGCACAGAAGCAGATGGGGCAATCCAAGCCACCCGTCGCCGCCGCCCTATCTGCTCGCTCACGAAGTGTATTCCACTCCTCTCTGGTTGTGCACTGCGCAAGGGCACGCTGCAGGCGGAGGCCGATGTTATCTAAAATGGCGGACCGCTCCTTTTCACGACGCTCAGCGTACGCGGCGTATGCGTCGGACAGCCGCGTCAGACGTTCCCGTGCATACTCACCAGAAAAGTCGCTGTCATTCTCCAGCCGTAGCTTCAAATAAGCCTTTCGCGCCAAGACCCGACGAAAAAAGGCCTGAATTTTCACAATGGCAGCACGCTCCGCCATCGCCTTGCCTGCATAGAAAATACGCTTGTGATAATGCCTATTCCGGCAGACAGGGCAACAGAGACGCTTTGCATCCCACTTGTCATGTGATCGTCTCGCGAGTTTTTCAAAACGAGAAAAGCACTGCTCATGAAAGACATGTGAGCAGCTTAATAATATCTGCCCTTGCTCCATTGTGGCGTAAAAGGGCTCCTGACATATGCAACAAACATTGGCTCCAAGCGGCATCGCAACATTGCGGCGCACCGCGGTGCCTTCAATTCTCCGCCACTCTTCTTCGGTGGGAGCAGGCGGCGGCAATGGCACAAGTCCCATTTTCTGCGCAAGCGTCAGCCGGCCTCCAGGGAGCGGCGGCGGCGCCTCCTCTAATGTTGGCAACTCACTAGTCAGCAACGCCCCACGAGCAAAGTGCTGCTGAAGCGCGACAGCACTCCAAATTTGAATCTTTTCCTTGCGTCTCCCTGCGCGCAGATTGGAGCCAAGTGAGGGAAGTCTGCAGCCCTCCGTGGACATGGACACGCTCCTACGAAAACAAGGAAGTGACAACAACGAGGGCAAACACAAAGAAAATAAAGTCGACGTGAGTCCGTCCACATGCACACTCCCACTCAGGAACAACAAAAAAAAAAAACCCTCAGGGCTCGTTAAGGTGTAAGAGCAAGCAGAGACACAAAAACAAGCCAACAAGGAACAAACACACAAAACAGACTTCCAGTGATAGATGAAACGCCCATGGTCCAACTGACGCGTCAAAACTGTAGAAAAAGGAGAGTTTATTCCCCACCGCGCTGCTCCTCCTCCGCCTTGCCCCGCCTCGCCTCACCCAAACACAAGGGTAAAGATGATAACTGCCGTGTTGACAATAATCAACGGCAACCGTAATAACGTACGTACACCACTCAGTACAGAGGCAAGTTGTGCCTTCCATGGGGAGGGCTGCCGCACCCGCACAAATTCGTCCCCGGTGCCAAACGACTGAGGCACGTACCCCGCGTCGCCGCCCTGCTCAGTCAACGGAGTTGTGGCGAGGCCATACTTCGAGAGGAACCGCCGCTCTGACAAGATGGCCATGGCGTTGAGGCAGAGGAGTAACGCCTGCAAAATGCTGGCAACAGAAAACCCCATGATATCTGAATTCTCCATAAAAGCAGGCAAAACAAAAATGGGAAAGAAAATGACAACAAAAAAGGAAAAAAAATGTGTTCCCTTCGTGTTGAGATGCCCAACAAACCCACAGAGAAGAATTTTTCCCAAAAAGGGCAAAAAAACAGCAGAAACAAACAAACAAAACTGAATGCGGTAAAAAAAAATTTACTAATAATAATAATAATAATAATAATAATAAATCTGGGTAAGTGTCACCTGCTCAAGAACCGCCTGCCGCTTAGGCAAAATAAAACCACAAACAATTTGAACAGATAACTTGAGAGGGTTCCTTCTCTTCTTGTCCTCATTTAATCCTCCATCAACACCTCGGATTTGGCGTTGGACGACTCCCCTTCCGTTTTTTGCACACAGCCGCTAATCACAATACGAATGTCATCTGTGGGTTGGAGAACGTCTCCTGGGTCCAGACGCACCATGTCTCCAAGTGCCCATTGCTTCCCAATAACACGAACGCCGTTACGCCCATAGTTCATAAGCCAGATAAATTGACCCTCATCACCATTTTCCCCGTTGCCGTCCACTTCATGCTTCACCGCAGCACCTGCATCACTGGCACTCCATGGAGGCTTCGCTGAAAGCACCGCAAGAGAAAAATGATGCGGTGAGAGAAACTCGGGGTGGTTGGTAAAGGCAGAGAGCCCAACATGAACGTTTGTCACAGTGCCATGTGCGGCACTGGTCACACCAGCGCTTCGTCCAAAGTGCATGAAGCGTCCTCGCACCGGGATCAGTTCCGAGGTTGCGGTACTGGAAGAAGTCACTCGCAATTCCCAGCGGTTATTTGAGGCATCCTCTACTGCTGATTGCTTCCATCCAAGATCCTCCTCAGGATCTAACATGGCAGCGGGCAACTTTATTGGGTCCACATGAGGCGCTGTCTCATTTATTGAGCCCGGTGTAAACTTTTCCGTTTGTATTCCGCGTGACTGCAGTGTTTGCCATGGACGGCGATAGAGCGCACTCAGAGTTTCAATAAGCTCGATCCGTTTTTCCACATTTTGCTCTGCAGCAGAGACAAAGACACCAGGTTGCAGATCAACATTTGTGCCCCACGGATCATCCGAGGGCCGCAACGCACCAATGTCTACTTCCGCCGTCTCAGCTTCGCGTGGTCGTGCAAGGCTCCGACACCCGTAAAGCGTATTCTCCCCTTTAACATCGGACAAAGATTTATTGTTGGCTTCAATAAGGGTTCTCCAGGCAAGAACGTTGATAAAATGATTTGACATGATAGCTTTTGCCTCATTATCGTTTAGTTCAGCACGATCTTTAAGCTTAATCAGTTCTTCTATTATGGATCCAGAAGAGAATTTACCCCGCTGCAACATCTCGGCTGAGAGACCAGCAACCTGAAGGCGATCTGCGGCCAACAATGAGGCCAGTGTCGTCATGGGTGCTGCAGACGCAGGATTTGTGGCCGGTGTCGTGCCATCTGCGTCCCCGCCCTGGGAGCCCCCTGTATCATCCCGCTGTTCCATTTGAGGCAAATGAAACAACTCCGCAATGTTAAGAGATGAGGCTTCCACATCAACAGCGCCTGAGACCGCGTCACTAACGGAGAATGGTGCCGTGTCTTCTGGAACTTTGGGAAGTAGCTCCGGAAAAAGATACATGGGCGGCTCATAGCTGGTGGATCGCTGCAAGACCAGTTCACAGTCCCCCACTAACGGCGTCAGCGATTCCGTGCCAAACCGCGACCCATCCATATTTTGTTCTTTATTCAAATTTTCAATTCTTATTCTTGTTGTTCCTTTTTTTCCGTCTTCCCCTCCTCGCTTCTTGCACGAGAATGAAGACAACGGAATTGGCGCCGTCACAGGGACAAGCTGGAAAAATAAAAAAATACTCTGTGCGGGAGGTTAAGAAAAAAAAAAAAGAGTGACAGAGAGAAATGGCAAGAGAGGGAAAAAGAAAAATGTTGTCATACAAATTGAGTCTAAACACAGGGAAATGCGCACCTGCAGATAAATATTAAACTATTATGCTGTTGTTGTTGTTGTTGTTGTTGTTGTTGTTGTTGTTGTTCCCAAGTATCAGCACCGCGTTCATGCTACCATGGACCACCAGAAAGTTCATCGTGTGGGCCCGCCATATTTGCAAAAGGATTGGATTTCAGTGGGGCAGAGCGTCGTGCAGCCCCTGCGGGAGGCGCCGATTCCATGTGTCTTTTCTCTAATTCATTCCCACGCACGCATCCATCAGGGGGCTCATCAGAAAACAAATTTCTCTCCATAGATGCTACTTTTTCCACCGGCTCCTGCAGTCCATTCGCGATTCCCAAAGTTCTTTCAAATGGTCTTCTCGCTGGCTGAAGGTCACTCTGCTGCTGCTGCTGCTCTTGAGGGGGACGCACTGATGGTGATGGTGATGTTTGAAAACCATTTGGGCCCGTCGCCTCAAACAAACTGTGCGAAGGTTCCGCTGGCGTCATCTGTTCCCCTTCCGCAAAACCCGCGTATTTTGTTGCAGGCAATAAGTTCACCTCCCCACAAATTGCCTGGGGCGCCTTTGTCGATGAAAAAAAGGAGTACGGGGCGGATGGGGGAGGCAGTGGCGGAGGTGATGGTGACGGGTACGTCTTTCCCAGGCCCGTGTAATTCATGGGGAGGTTCTCCTCGTCCAACTCGGCGACCAGAACAAGCAGGCGGTCACGCTCTTCCGTCAGCTTTTCAACCTCACGACGAAGCTCCAGAACTTCTGTGGTGTTCGACCGATTCGCGCGGGCCTCCCGCAGCTGCTCCTCCAGCATGTTCAGAGACTGTGCCAGGAGCCGATGTTCCTCCTCCTCAGCACTAAGCGCCTCTTCCAGAAGCCGGACGTTTTCCCTCAAGCCTTTTACCTCCTCCACATGCCGCTTTTCAGGTTTCTTCTCGACCTCTCGTGACTCAGCATCTGCATGTAAATGACCTCGCATAACTTGTAGTTCGCGCTCCAACGCGGCATTCTTCTCCAATAATTCCTTCACCCTGAGCTCGTACACGTTGCGAAGCGCATTGCATGCCTCATCCTCAGCATTTTTGAGGCAACCCTCCACCTGTGACAGATTTTGCTGTTTTGGGGCTGTCATCCCAACAGCCCCAAGATTTTCGTTCAGATCCTCCCTCAATGACAAAGACCCTTCCGAAAAAAAATCTACATCTTCAACCACAGTGGCAAAAGCTGTATTTGTTACTCGTGTTGCTGCTGCCGTCGGCGCCGGGGCCACCGACAAGTCACTCTCCTCCATCGCCGTGGGTTGCATCTTGCCACGCGACGGGCAAATCTCGTTAAATTCCTTGATGACACCCAATAATGTATGCTTCATTTTCTCGTCGTACAGAGCGGGGGTTGGGCGCAAGAAGGCATTCTTTGGCGGTTCAGACCACATTGGACTGGAGGCCTTCACGTCGAAAAGAAGACTGTCAAAGATGGAGGGGCCACCCAGATGGTTAAAAAAAAGTTCCAATAACTGTCGCCTATTCAACGAAGGCGATGACGGAACGCCATCCGCACTGCCCTCGCACTCTCTCACTCGACCATTACCATCGGCTCTTGGGGGCTCTTGGGCCGTTTTCGGCAGCCCACTCGGTGCAGCGACGCACAATGCAGCACATAGAACAGCGGACCAAAAGCGAACATGCACCGGGCCGTCGTCTTGTCCTGCTCGCTGCAAGAGCGACTTGTAGTACTTACCATCGCTCAAAAATACCTGAACGGCTTCCTCGCAGCCAATCACCCACCGCAGCAGCGACCTGAAACAAGCACTAAGAGTGTTGAGATCCATCTCCCCCTGACCTCGAAGACACTTAATGACGTATTGAACGTACGCAAGAAATACGCCATTTGTTTCATAGGGCGTAATCGGCTTTCTCAATGATAAAGATGACGCCATTTCCCGTTGATTCGTTCCCAAGAGCTGCTTCATAACCCCCGACACACACAAAAGACGATCCAACAAAAGGGCAGAATAATATTTTTGGCTGCTTCTACTGTATGGGATAGGTCTAAAAAGAGCGTTGGCTAATGCCGCCCCACTGCGAGCCGGTAACACACCCCTCGATGCCGTGGCTGCGGGTGCCGCCGGCGCCAATGAGGATAAAGAAGGAGCAAATCCCTCCAATAGTTTTTCCGCAACATCTCCCTCACAGACCGAAACACTTAACAAAGCATGAAACACCTGTGCAGCGGCAGATTGCATCACCCTATCCTCTATTTCTAACAATACATAAAGAATTCCACGGAGCGCAGACCATTCTTCCACCCATAACGAAAATTCGCAAGAAACCAAAGTTGTGACCTGCAACTGTATGAACCTTTCAATACCTACTCTTCTGTCCTGGAGAAGTACTGCCAGGGTTCTTAATGCCTCTACCCGTGATGCATCATCAACAATCACGCCACCAAGGGCTAATGACGACAACGGGCCTAATGCACCACTTTGAAGAAAGGCCTCTTGGGCTGCAGGACCCTCTTGGTGCGCTTCCGCCCCGCGTAGAACACAACTAAGAATGGATACCGCCTTAAAAACCACGTCGTTCTGCATGTCACTCAGAGGGGTAAAGATGGCCTCCATATTCTCACCAGTATCTCCACCCTGGTTCTTGAGGGATGCACTGCGATGCATGGCAGCCCGCAAACGCTCAGGCACCGCCTCCAATAAATTACAAACAAGACGGGCGCACCCCATTTCGCAAAAAAGCTTTTGTGTTGCCTTGTTGTTGCGCAACATGTTGTGGGCAATGGTAAGGCAGTCACAGACAATCACGCCACCATCCAATCCGCCCTCTTCCTTTATGACCGCAAACAACATCTCAAATGCGTTGTCAAAGGCAAGAATAGTTTGTAACTCAGTGTCTGTGGCTGTGATAGATGTAATAAGCAACAATCCTTCGCTTCGAAGAGCACCGCAATGGCTGTTATCGTTCAAAATGTCCAAAAGCATACCGATGCCATGTGAAGAAAGTAGCAGCTTATGTACTGCGGAAGGGTCGTGCTCCTGCAGTCGTTGCAGTATTTGTACAGCGTGAAAGCGGCACCAAAAGCTACCGGCTTGGACATGATTCAAAAACAATGGCACCTCCGGAACCAATTCATGTAGAAAGGAATCACGAATACGTCTCTTCTCCTTCTCGGAAACAGCGTAGTTGGAGGAACTGGAGGGATAACTCGTTAATTCCGTAATACCCGAGAGGACGGCGAGGGACGACTCCACAACGTCGTTGTCGTCAGGGAAAATTCGCAGAACGTTGCAGAGGTAAGAAACCTCTTTGGCCGCCATAACATAGGGTAGGTCGGGGCATGCCTGCAGCTCCTTCAACGCGTCACGTCGGTCCTGGGCGACTGTGCACGATTGGACACGAATTATGAGTGTTCGTGTGGGAACGCGTTGCTTTTCCTCTTCTGCATCGCCTTGCTGCGAGGAGGGAGATTCAGAGCCCTCATGCTCCACCGGATGCACAACATTGCTACCGAGCAACGCCTTCACCAGAAAACTCATTCCGAATGTGTGAATATCTTGCTGCCCAGAGTCGCCTTCCTTCCTTTTTTTTCTCTCTCCCTCTCAAACCCCCACACTCTCTGCCCCACTTGCCTCCTCCTGTTGTTGTGACCAGAGCAAAGTGGAATCTGCCTGTTCTTACGGCTCTGCACACGCATCGAGGGAGGAGACGGAGTGCCATCAGACCCAATAAAAGAAAACAAAACAAAAAACAATAAAGATATAAATACAACAAAATAAAAAGAGAAGTGCACACACACGCAGAAAAAAAAAAAAAAAGAGAGAGAGAGAGAGAGAACCGCCCCACATCCTACGCGAGGAATGCGTGTAGCAAATAAAGACAGTTCTGGATCACATTAATCGATTCAACTGAGAAGGATGCATCTATGCATCCTCCTTCCCTAATTAACCCTTCCCCCGCATCTCATTTCTCGTCGTGTCCGCCTAGAAAGTCGTCTCGGGCATCACACCAAACGTCTCACGCTTCACACGCACCTCGCCCTTTGGTTTCAGCACCTTTCGCTTGTTGTATGTGTGCCGCATGCGGGCTGGCACAAGGTTGCGTTCCTCCAATGACTTCATTCGTTCCGTGAGAGGGTGAATATAGCCACCATTCAAATGTCGCAGCGATCCAACAAGTTTGTCTGTCGGTGCAACATCCAAAGCCAACGGTGTGTGATGGTGACGACCAAAACTTTTCACCTGCAGTTTCTCACGCTTCGCTGCGCGGCCCCGCTCCCTAGCTGCTTCACGCCGCTTTTCTCGCTGTTGATGCTCGACAATAATGTCATCAAGCGCATCTGCCTCCTTTAACGCAATCTCACGCTTCGGGTGGCGGCGATGTGGAAGGGCGCGCCTGGCAGCCTGCACCGAGGTCTTCTTTGCCTTCTTTTTTTTGTCCTTTTTCTTTTTCTTCTTCTTGCATTCCTCCTTCTCCGTGCTTTTCTCCTTCTTTTGCGTCTTTTGGGGCCGCTCCTGGACCTCCTCCTCCCACGTCTTGTCCGCCGAAAAATTCCCTGTGATGGGCACGTCGCGGCCATTTGTCATCATGGCGACAAACTTCTCATCCGCCGTCTTCTTCCGCTCCAGCTTCCTCACCGCCACTCGCAGCGCGTCCTGGTGGTCGTCGTGCAGCGGGTTGTAACTCTGGCCGGGGTGCGGCAGCGCCACCGCGTCACGGTTGTTCGGCCGCACATGCACGTACTTCCGCCTGCGCGGGGCGAGGGGTTTGGCGGGCAACACCTCGGGCTGCACATCCCAACCGGGCGCGACACGCACCGGCTGTGGCGCGTTGACCGCACGCTCAGAGTCGCCGTGCCACAAGTCACGCAACTTCCCCATTTGTATCCAATGCGACTCTATGTCTGTACGCGTTTGCCCAGCCCTTCCACGTTGTATATATGTATGTATATATGTATGTGTGTATATATTCCGGTGTACCACCCCACCACAATCACCACCACTAGTGCCAACTATACCACGGGCAATGAACCACTATGAACTACACACACAAGAAGCCACGCACCCAAAGAAAGAAAAAGACTCACGCAGAGCCAAAATATAAAACAAAATAAAATAAAAGCAGCAGACAAAAAAACGCCAAAAATAATTTCTGTGGTTCCTTGTACCACAGCCGGAAAAGCCACACACTCTCTCTCTTTGAGGCTTAACAATAATAACAATAAATAAATTAAACAACATTTCATGACTACTTCCCCTCGCAGTCATTTTTATAGTCCTCTCTCGCCCTCTCTCTCTCCAATGAGTGACAGGATACACACAAACAAAAATGCACACATAGCCAATGCGAAAAGAGAAAAGCCACCTGCAGCATTCGTGCCAGCTGCCGCCGTCATGTCACAAACAGAAACCTTTCGTTTCTCACCACCGCAGTTTTTTTGTTCTCCTTGTTATATTCGCCTGCCGTTGTTTATATCCCTTCATTTTTAAAACTTCTTGATAGAGCGCTGGGGCCGCGAAGCCTCAACCATCGACTTGTAGGCACGTCCCCTGCTCAGGAAGCTCTCCGCATTGCGCGTCCAACGCTTGCTCACCTGGAACTGATAGAAGTCCGAGTAGCAGCTATTCTTGCGCCGTTTGCGGTGCATGGGTCGCTCAAATGTATCTTGTGCCTCATCTCCCCCAAATGTGGATGTCAACTGAGTTTTATCAACACCCGACGCATCTGCCCCCTCAGCGTTCTGCATCATCTGCCTCACAACCTCCTTCACGTTCCGCGGTACAACGTAGCGGAAGCCGTCCTTGTCGCCACCGCGCCGGTTGATGTTCTTCAATTCCTTCAGACGCCTCGCCGCGGCGCGTCGCATCGCTGATTCTTTCCTTCCAAGATCCTTAAAGTACGCATGGGCGTTGCTCAGGAGGGTTTCGGCGGAGACGACTTCGCTGCGCTTCTGCTCAGCGTAGTCTTCAAGAAATGGAAGGTAGGGGTACTGCACGAGGTCGTCTACATCCACGCCGCCCAAATCACCAGCGGACAACGAGGCGTTGCGTGTGCCTTCGTCCCCGCGAATCGCCCGTGCGATCATCTGCTGCTCTATTTCCTCCCGCGACAGCTGTTTCTGCTGCTGTGACGCCGCGCCGCTCTTTGCATCGTTGATGTTCCTCCGCCTATTTTTGGCCGGACTGCCGTTGGCAGCCGCCTTTTTCTTCTTTGCCGAGACGCCGGGCGACTTCTTTGCCGCCGAATGGTGTGACTGCTTCCCCCTCCCGCTTCTTTTTGCCACTTCGCCCGCCTTATTCCTCGCTCCCCCCTTCTTCTTCTTCTTCTTCTTTTCGCCGGCTTTGCCCCGCCGCGCCGCCGCTGCCGCCGCCTCCCTCCGCTTCACGATGAACTTCATTTTTTTAATGTATCGCCTGTTCACCGTCAATTCCGGCAGCAGCGCGTTGGTGCCCGACTTCTTTTTCGCCATTTTTTACGGCGCTAAAAAAAGGCGGGCGCACGTTTATTTGTGGTTCAAATAATAATAATAATAATAACGACAAGCAAAAAGAGAGGAGGCGTAAATAAACTGTGAGGAAAAACAGAGGAAGGAAGAAGAGGGCCGCACAACAATCACCCCGTCACGTGGCATCCGGCGGAGTGCGCCGTCACTGGGAAGAAGTGTGGGCGTCAAATAAAGACAAACGCACACACATACACACTCTGACGCGCGTACAACTTCCCCCCAAATGTAACGCAGAAGACGAGAAGAAATGATGGGATAAAGCACAGAAATAAAAAGCAAAAAAAAAAAAAAAAGAAATAGAGAGAAAGAGAGGGAAAGTCAACTTGACACCAACTCACCCATCTCCCTCACCCTCATATACACGCAAACACGCATGCATATACATATTTATATAATTGATATTTATATTTATATATTTTGATGCATATACGTGTGCACACAACACGGCCCCATTAAGTTCCACCCATCCCCTCAACCCTCACCCCTTCATTCTGTCCACACGCATGAATGCTGATAAATTGCCAGCATGACAAATTCAGTCGGCATGTATGCAGATGCCACCCTATTGCGTTATTTCGTTTTGCATTCCCGTCGTCTTTCTTACACAATTTACACAAAAGAAGCATAAAAACCACGCGGAAACATTTTAAAAGAAAATAATAATAATAATTTTGCTTTACTTCTACAGATCAGCCCTCTTTTTCCATTTTTTTTTTTTTTCTCCCTCTCTCTCTCTCTCTCTTTTTTTTTTTTTTTTTTCCAATTTTTATTACTCGATTCTCCCCTCTTTTCTTCTGCTTCTACAGGCGGCACGCCACACGGTTGAATGTACACCGAAATCATTTCAATATATAAATATTTATATATTGAAATAAAGAGAGAGTCAGGTATCACCTATACATGTATGTCCCCCCCCAACCGACCAACCAATCAACGTCCTTCTGAGTATGCTGCCTGAGTTACATTCCCTCCGTGTACACATACACGTATAAAAATAAATTATATCATTGGAGGAAATAATACATATATAATATATAATATATATATATGTATATGCAAGCAGATAGAGATACATACAGGCGGGTACTGCAGGGCCCCTCTCCCTCTCTCTCTCCTTTTCTCTCTCTTTTTCTCTTTCACACCAATCATATTATCACACAGTTGGGAAGGTTCCACGTCGCTCATACTCAACACGCTTGCAGGAGGACATAATCAAAAAGGAAAAAAAAAAAAAAAAAGCAGGCGGTAAACAACAACAAAACGGCAGGATTGAAAAATCACACAACACAAATCAACCGCACACGGTGCCGGCAACGCAGTCAATGATAACGACAAGAATGAAGAAATAAATGTAGAAAAAAAAAAAAAAAAAAAAAGGGAAAAGAAAGGGAAAAGAAAAAAGACGACACCAACGAGAAACCACATAAATGTGTATGTTTGTATGTATGTGTCAGTGCATTGTCACTCCTCGCCTATTGTTCACCTCATGCCACCCTGCAATTGGTCAGTTGCAACAATATATATATATATAAAAGAAAAGAAAAAAAAAGAAAAAAGAAAGAAAGAAAAGCCGAACAAAAAGAAAAAATTAAAAAAAAAAGGGGAAGAAATTAATCCACTGCGCTATTCTAACAATGCCAACATGTAAACTAATACATTTTTATATATTATTTTATATATTTATATTTATATATATATATTCTCCCCCCACTCATTCTCTCCCCCTCCATGCCCAGATCGCCCCTCCATTGGCACACGCTCACACCATTCAAACTACTGTTTGCTTTCATAAATTTTTTCATTCCTTTACGCCATTTATAATTCTCGCGTATCAAGATGCAAGCTACATGTATACATATATATATATAGATATAGATATAGATATATATAACATGCAAACCCTCTTTTTAAAAAGAAAAAAAAAAAAAACTTAAAAGAAAAATTTTGAAGAGAAACAAACAAAAAAACAAAAAAAACCAACTCAAAATGGAACAATCGCAATGTGCGCTCATGACAGTTGAAATGTCTCTCCTCCCTGCATGATGCTCAGTCGCAGCTTCTTGTACATGAGGTCTTCTGTGGGGTATGGCGGGAGCTTCAGGTAGCGGAAGCACGTGTTGACGGATGGTAAGGGCCAGTCCGTCTCATTCGGCAAAGAGTTCCACTCGCCCGGTTGCTTGGGGTTCTGTTCCTTTCCGTCCGCCCTACCAATGCCGTTGCTGCCGCCGCTGCTTCGTCCAGACGAACCATGAAACATTGTGAAGTCTGAGCGTTTGACTACCGTGATGGCCCCAAGGGCTCCCACGCCACCGACCGGCAGCCGCGGACAGCCCGTGCAGAAGAGGAGAAAACTACGTTGCTCTGCCGGTGTCAGTCGGTTCGCCAGAATATTCTGCAGCATTGTCATCTGCGGGGAGTCAGTTTGGTAGCCGTGCTCGGCGACAAGGATGGATTTGATTTCGGCAAGAGTCCAAAGTGGCTTCTTATCGTTGGCTCTGCTCCCGCACAAGAGGCTCATCATTTCCTGCTCCCCGAGTGATGCGAGTGCCTCAGAGGGAACAATGTCACGAAACCCGCGTATAAGGAATTGGATGGGAAGCACCGCAGACTCATACAGCAACCCACTACTGACCCGGCGAATGTATTGAGCCACACTGTCCTTCGTCAGAAGCTTCTCGGAGCCTCCAGTTATCATCTCAAAATTGTCATGGCCCGGAAGTGTAAAGGGAACGGCGAGCGACTTCAACGTGGCGCCACTGAGCGAGAGCAGTGACCGCAAACTTGTGGCGACTGACCGATCCATCAGTTCCACGTCGTCAAGAGAAAGCCCCATGAAATCAATGGGCCGTTCTATTCCCTTGTTGGCAATAGTATCACCGGAGAAAAACACGCATGGAGCTGGTGCGCCTCGGCTCAAAAAAATAGAAAGCGCGGGGCTCAAGTCAAGAGGAAACACCAGTTCGTCCGTGAAGGCACGGCCAAGGGCAGCTCCAATAAGATAATAGCAGCGGGCACGCTCGCGATCAAACTCTGCATAGTCTCCAACAAAGGCGAAGCGATCTGTCAGCATTGTTGCCCCTCCCGGCTGTTGCCACGAAGACACTGGGAATAGGCGGCACTGATCCTTCATGGCAGACACAAATGGGTATAACCCTTCCGCCGGAGGAACCACCTTCGCATCGCCGCTACTCATGTCGCCGTGAGTACTGCCATCTTTGGTTTTGGTGGCGGGAGCCCCAGTGCGCCAAAGACGTAATTTTGCCTTTTTGACTTCCTCAGCAATTAAAGTGTAGAAGTGCGCTGTGGGACCCTGTCCAACCCCAACATCCCCCTCAAATTCAATAGATATTGGCAGCCTCGAGTCGGCGCTTTTTTGAAGGACCGTATACGCATCATGCAGCAGCGATTCACGACTGACGCGGTATTTATGATTTGCCCACCGCCCCCATTCCGCCGGGTACACATTGATGGACCGATTAGATCGACTTAGGGGTGAGGCTTTTAAGTGGCTATGGAGCGCACGGCGAGCACCATAGGCAAAAAAGCGGGCAACGCGTTCACGGACATTTAACGGCAAAAGGAAATTCGCCTCTGTGATGACAAAGTCTGCCCACCTGGGAACCGCAAGCCTCGGTGGTAAAAGAGCCACACGAAGTGCTGATGCCGCCAATGACTTGACGACCAAAGTTGTAAACGGGGCACTCACGAAGAGGCCAGCATCAATATCCATAACACCCTGCTTAATAAGTGGGCTTAGCAATTTCTGTAAAAGAATAAGCAAAAGTGTATCCGGATTTTGAGAAAGTCGCGAGGGCTTGCGCACAAGTTTTGGTGGATACATTGAATTAAGTTCTGCTCGTGACGCCTTACCACACAGGCAGCGTGTGTCCTCATCCTTTTCAAAATGATGAAACATGTACGTCCGCGCGTTGCTCGACCTCTCCGGCACATCGGTCCAGGATGGCGGCAGACCAACTTCATCTTGTCTCAGCAGGAGAGATTCGTTACGATTTATCTCTTGAACGCCGTTAGAACTTTCACAATAACCCTCGATGCTAAGCAAGCAGGTTTCTAACTGTTCCACAACCCCCAAATTTCCCTCGTGAATGGCACGCCGAAGAAAATTCCCTATAAGAGTCTCTTGGTAGGCACAACGACCACCAGGGGCGGTGTACAGCACATACCGCTCCTCCATCGCGTCGCGTAGCAAGCGCCGCAGCTCCTGCAGCTCCTTTGGCCCCAATGGATGCACATCCGTCACATCTTCTGCTGTTGCTTCCGGATCAATAGTGGGACCATTTAACAAGAAGGAGCTCAGAATGCGGTGGACCTCCTTACGAAGTATCTCATCACTGCAGTTCAACCGCTTGCGAGCAAGAAACGACTTGGCACGTTCCACAAAATAATCAATATTCTGCAACACGGACTGCGGGGCGGGTGCCACATCCGTGTTCCTCGTAGAGTACGAACCCGTGCGGAAATATCGCTCTATGTCACCAATGCTGGAGAATAAATGAGCACGAATAATCGGTCTCGAATATTGTTGGCGCTGTCGTTCCTGGCTTGTCTGTTGCTGCTGTTGCTGCTGTGACTGCGCCACAAACCCCAAGATGCCGCCAGCTGCGGCGCCTGAACTGGGACTCGCACCGGAGGTGGCATTCGAATACTGTACTTTGGGATCCGTGTAACAGTCCTTACATATGTAGAACTCACAACGATGACAACAAAAGCCCGTGTGTATTTCTTCCTCGCACATATCGCACAAACCCAAACTTTGTCCTTCCGATATAGCAAGCAAACGGTGCCCACGTGGGCAGTTGTCTCTGGAATGTACTACTTCCACCCCGCCCCCCGAAAAAAGACCTGCATCGGGTTGCATAGGCATTGAAACGGGACATGACTTGCTTTGCTTAATCAACGTTTTGGAGTTTTTTCTCTCAAATTCCCATCGCTTCGCGGCATCTGATTCGGCATCCGGTTTAGAGCAGAGGCTGACAATAGGTGATATGTGTGAGCCCACCAATACAGCTTTGGTAGGCGGTCGACACGTCGCCCGGGAGGGACCCAAGAGCGATTCAACAAGCGGGAAAGTGGAGTGAAGTGGGAGGGCAGAAACCAAGTTCTCAATTAACGCTTTTACTCCACGTGGCCTCTGCATCGCAGATTCCAAAAAACACTGCAGACGCTCCTTTTGACATCGCTGATGAAGTCCATTGGCGGTACGCGTGCCAGCAAAGGCCAACAGGTCTCCTTCCGTAAGTTCCTGCCCAAAGCCTCCAACAAATGATTCCTCCTTCACCTCGGTGCTACCGGTTGCCACGGACGGCGTTGCAGTCCCTACCATGGTGACAGCATCACGGCAGTAATCCTTGTAATGTTCCACCAACAGGTATTTCAGTACGGCGTCGGCGATGCCCAAAGTGGAGAATTCATACGCCGTCACGGTGTTCGCTGACTTTTCCATCAATTCCAATATGCGTGCCACCACGCCTTGGTGCAAACCGGGAGTAACTGCGCAGATTTTGAGTTCATTCACCGCTTTGCGCACCATCATCACATCCATAGTGCTCAGGCTGCGCTCCGACCGTGGCGACTGTGTCTTGGACAACTGCTTGTTGATCGCCCGGAGAACCGCCAACGCGGACGCCGCCAGATATGCAGTGCGTGTTTGTTTTACTTCCGGCCCCACTTTGTTCAGGCCTTTGTGGGGTTTCGTCTTCTTGGAAGATACCACCGCGCCGCCAGATAAGAGAATCTCCAATTGGTTCACCACACCACACCTCAGGGCCGTCTCGCTAAAATTCCACACCGACGCCTGTGGATGACACAAAAGCCACACCATCATTGTGAGGGAAACTGATTTTGTGGCCTTGTCACCCGAAACCAACGCCTCACGCAACATCTCGCACAGTGGACGGATGATTTTAGACAACAGACCCGCCAACCTTTGGTTCTCTTCTGTGCAAATGGCGGCTTGAAGTAAAGACGCACACGCAGAAGTTCCCAACTGCATCGCCATCTGACCAGAGACGGAAACAACAAAGCTGCATAGACTCTCAAGAAACATTTCCGCAATGCTCATGTACAGTGGCGGCACCACTGAATCTCTGTTTATAATGAAAAGTTCACCCAAGCCCTTTGAAATTGCCGCGGCTTCTGACGCATTGATTACCCCCAACTCTCTTCTACACTTCGGCGTAGGGTTGCACAACATCATGGCTTCTTTTGCTGATTTAACCAAACGAAGATCGGCCTCATCCACAAAGTGAAAAACAAATGGAACTATTTTGCGTGAAATATTACGCTCTCCACTTCCAAATCCACCTGACAACTTCATCGATTGAAAATTTGCCCTCAATGACTTCATATGCATCCTAAACGGTGTTTCCTTACACAGTCGACAAAAGCTTGTTTCCAGCGCCACACACCCCTCCTCAGAGATGGAGTTGCTGTTCCGCAATTCATCCTCCCAATACCACTGGTGAACAGGAACCAAAACTTTCGGCTTGGGGCCAAATGCCTCGCTCAAGACCCGCGGGCAGGCAAGAACAAAGAGACGGATAGCC